AGCTTTTTTTCCTTATCTTAGTGCCAATTAGTAGAGAGCCATTTGAGGTAATTAAGAGCAATTAAATAGGTAAATAATATGTTCTCTCCATCTTTCTTCTTGGCTTCCACTTTATGCTTTTCTTTTGGCCTCAGGCTGTGACCTCCAAGGAGCAGGCCCTCTCGCTGAACGTGTGGAAGTTGCCAAGTATGGTAGTGGTGGCACCACAGGGCATTACACAAAACAGCAGTGGCAAAAACTGTACAGGAAATGATCAAAACCACACGCTGATAAGTACAGGGCCAGCAGATATGGTGTAAAAGGAAATAGGAAAGCCATACCATTTCTTTAAAGCGGGGCGTATTTTGGGACTGTAGCTGTCCGCTCCAGGAGGAGGGACAGCTGCTAAGGGAAAACGTGGGTAGAAGGTGGGACGCCGGTGAAGAGAAAGACGAGCCCCGCTGAAACGAATTGCGCCAGCGCCTCCTGCCCACGAGTTACAACACGTTCACGTCTCTGCCCTCTGTGGTGTGAATGGGCCCAGGTCCTTCCACGCGGCTTAATGAGCACAGCAGAAAGTGAGCGGGTGGGCGGTCTGGGCCCGGGTGCCACCGGGTAGCTGTGCCCACGGTAGCGGTTCTACCCGGTGAATCCCTGTGCCTGTGCCGGGAGAGGGCTTGGCGGCCGGGGCCAGGCCTTTCCCTTCCACCCACGGGAGCCCGCCTCACCCGGCACCAGAGCGGGCCCTCAGCCCCATGCGGCACAGCACTGACGTGGGCCCGGCCTTCCTCTACCCCCGCTGGAAAACACGTTCTGGTTGTCGGCCCAGCAGGGAAACGGGAGCAGCGCTCTGCCCCACGCACGGGGCAAGGCGGGAATCCTGGCTCCCCGACCCCGGGAGGGCACACCACCACCCAGGGCTGAACTGAGGGCCCCCCCCATGGCCTTAGACCTCCCCCAAAACATCCCCAGGCCAGACCCCTCTGCCCCTCCCCGCCAGGCCCTGCCCCAGCCACCTCCATCCCCCCTCCCCCAGGCCAGACCCCGCCTCCTTACCTCCCTCCCCCCCCCCCCCCCCCCCCCCC